GTGTGTGTGTGTGTGTGTGTGCGTGCGTGCGCATATGTGTGTGCGTTGACGTTCTGTGGCGTCTCCCCTGCAGCAGTTGAGTCCCACCGCGTCCATTCAGGACACACAAAAATGGCTGCTGAAAAACCGATTCAACTCCTACACGCGAGTCTTCACTCACTTCTCAGGTAAACACAGATGCGGGCGGACCTCTAAATATGGTTAGAGATGCGCTGAAATTAAAATTCTTGCCCGAAACCGAAAATGTTAAATGATTATATCTTAAGCTTCACTTGCAGTTTTTTTTTTTTCGTTTTTTAGTTTTAACATTTGTCTTTTTTTTTTTTTAATATTTCTTGTGTAAGATATTTTTTTAAAAATCACACTTAAGTGTTGTGTAGTCTTAAAAAAAAAACTGTTTTCGAAACAAGCATCCATCCACAAAGCAAATACATGTACAATCGCTGGGCGATATATCTTGACACATCAAAATCAAGATGAGGACGAGATCAGTCACGTGACCTTGCCACGGTTGCGCTGCGTATAAAGCTCGGTTTAACCGCTCACATTCCTCCTTTTAAAGTTCGCCGTTGATTGACTGTTAAAACCAGCCAATGAACCCATAGTAATATCGTTATTACTCCGTCAAAGATAACTGATATGAAAATATTAAATTTTGAGCATATTGCACAGCCCTAACAGATACTGTAAACAAGACCACAGAAAAAAATGATGATGCAATGTTAAGAAAACGTGTAAATAGACACCGGGTTGGCACTCAATGAGATTTTCCATCGTATGTAAATGCTTATTTGTTCACTTGGCTCACTTTGTTTGTTCAGGTTCTGATTTGTTAAAGCTAACCCGGGATGACCTGGTCCAGATTTGCGGTCCTGCGGACGGAATCCGACTCTTCAATGCACTCAAATCAAAGTGTGTGCTCTCACCTCTCGGGCGCTCGTGTGCACTTCTTTGAGCTTCATTTAGGGACAGCGGTGTTTATTTTGTGTGTGTATTAAGGTCCGTGCGTCCCCGCTTGACTGTGTACGTGTGTCAGGAATCCCCTCAGCACAGCCCCCTGCTGGAGAGACACACCCCCAGCGAAAATGGCGAACAGGTCGTCTCACCCAGTTTACATGGTAGGATACTTTTTTTCTTTTTTTTTTTTTTTTTTTTCAGTATTCATATAGCTGTCAAATATGAGCTCAACGGAATATCGTCCCTTGCCCCATGACAGTGTACCATGCTTTGTACCTGGAAGAGCTGACGGCAGCCGAGCTGATCCGCAAGATGGCCAGCGTGTGCGGGCTCCCGCTGGGGACCATTAACCAGGTGTACAGACAAGGACCCACCGGCATCCACATTCTGCTCAGCGACCAGGTAAGCATGCTGCCTGCCTGCCTGCCTGCCTTCCAGGAACCTGGAACGTCAGGGAGCTCTTTCATGATTTGGTTAACACTGACCCCCAGCGGCCAAATCATGTACTGCATCCATTTCAAACTGCCTTCTCCTAACATATACAATTTTGTCTTTTTTTTTTTTTTTTCGAGCAAGACAGAGCACAAAGTGTACGGACGAGGATTGGGTATCTATTTCTATGTGTCGTTTTGAGTCATTTATATGCGCGTTGTGTTCTGCATCCTGATTGGCTATGGGACTGTAGACCAATGTCAACTGTCTCCGCCCCTCGTCTCTGTACAGCTTGCCAAATTTACATTTGCCACCAAAACAGGTTTTAGATCTTTGGTCTCATTCTATAGTACAGTATTGTTTTGTCCAATAATAAAGCTGACTGTAACTGTCCTTGCTGAGGACCCCACATTTATTTGGGTTAATCTGCCCCCTGCTGTTACATTTGAGGGTTGCATTGAGTGGCAGGAAGTGGTTCACTTTCGTCAGTTTGAGCAAAGAGACAAAAGCGTGGGGTGCATACGGCAAGAGCTTTGATTTCTTCTTACTACTCCTAAATTCTTGTTGAGAAGGCGAAACGATATGTGGCCATGACTAACGTGTGTTTAATGTCGTCGAGATGCATGTTAGTATGGTATACATTGTGTAATTGTATATTTTTGTCATAGTTTTGTTGGATAATAAAGGCTGCCGAACATTGGTCAACTCGTAAAGTCTTTCTAAACTAAGAAAACCTTTAGGAGCAGTTACACTGACTACTTCACGGATTTCGCCGATCGCCGGCCGGTTCTTTTTGGAACGCGATAAAGGAGGGTTCACTGTAATTACGAATTCACTCATCTCCAATTTGAGATACTCTTTTGCAAAATGCTAATTTGGTGTTTCAAGTGTGGGTGTGTGCGTTGTTCATGCAGTGTTCGTACTAATCGCGATATGCCGGTGTGTGCAGATGGTGTACAACTTGACGGACGAGAGCTGCTTTGTCATCAACACCGTCAAAGGTGAGGTTTTGTTTTTTTTTTTGTTTTTTTTTGAGGGGCAACATCAGCAACACTTTTGAACGGCGCCGTCGCTCTTTTTTGCAGACGAGCAGGGCGAAGGACTCCACCTCATCCTGAAGTAAAGCCAGGACCACCATCAGCCATTCTCCCCCCCAACCCTACCCGAACGTCTGACTCTGCCTGTGCGTTCCTTCTCACCCACCCACCTCACCCCTCCGCTCTCGATCGAATGGACGGCCAAGAGAAGAGGCGTGTAAAAATGTTAGCATCTGACATGCGGGGGATGTGTCCACTGTTTCATATTGAAAACACAGGAAGAGTTGTCTTGGGCTGGCTGGAGAGCTTTTTTTTTTTTGTTGTTGTTGTTGTTTCTTTCCTTTGCTTTGCTTAGTTTTTATGTATTTTACGCAGGCCAGTATCGGATGCTGTTTTGCTCATCAACTTGATTGAGAAGCGCAAGAGAAGGGGGGAGGGTGTTGTCTTAATGTTATCGACCAGCTCTGTGCTCAGCAAACTAAATACGTGGATATACGTCGTCATTTTTCCTTTTGGGTGTTGTCTCGATCTCTCTCTCTCTCTCTCTCTCTCTTTCTTTCTCTCTGTTACTCGCCGCTTTGTGTTCCGGAAACATTCTTGTGTTAGACCAGCTCAATCCCAGAAAAAGGACCAAAAATACTTTTTGAGAGAGTCAGCACTTTTTTTGTTTGTTTTTGTGCGCGAGCAGCTCATCAGCGTCATCCTACAGACATCATGGCAGCTCCATGTCCATCCTCTGAATTTTTTTTTTTTTTTTTTGTCTTTAGTTGGGCAACAAAGCGAGCGAGTGCAAGGTAATTAGCCTCAAAAATATATCTAAAATGTTTGGGCCACACTGACAAGAAAACACTACTAATACCTTGAGAATGAAGTCGGGAATGTTTAATCAGTTTTTGAAAATCAGGGAGATAAAACTTTTTCATCATGATTCAAAGTCATTTTTGGAGAAATTGTTTTATTTCTTTGAGAAGAAAATGTCTGCTAATTCTTTTTTAGGAAAAAGCGGGGGTGCTGTTTTATTTTCAGGAATGTCACTATTTTAATTCTCCCTATTCGCCCCCCCCAAAAAACAAATCTTGTCAAAATGCGACATAAAATTTGACTTAATTTTGAATATTTTTTAATAACTTGGTGCCATCATTTCATTGAGTACTAGTAATCAAAACTACCTTTTACCCAAAAGAACAAAAATTGTCCCAACATTTGTTCCCCCCCCACTCCTTCAAAATAATACATCTAAAAAAAAAAAGTTTTTCCCAATTGTAATTTTTGTCATTAGAAAGTCATTTTTTTCGCCCCTCAAAATATACATACTTTTGGAAACGTTCTCGGTTGAAAATAATCTGACAAAATTCCTCCAGTATACTACTTTTCTTTTCAGTGTGAGCCTCAAAAGTCCTTAGTACAAACAGAAAAAAAAATCACATACTGTATAGTTTTTAGTCAAGCCTCCTAAATGAGGTGTCTGCCTCTTTAATCGCGTGAATGTGCATGTGTTTTGTTTAATTTTCCTCCCATTCTTAATGGTAGATTTGTGGCTATGACAAACATGTTGCATGTGGAAGTCGGGGGAAGACGTCAGACGTCGCCCGTCCTGTCTTGTCCTGTCCTACTTTTTTGAGATGAGACCAAGCCTGCACTGAAAACTCACAAACTCTGTGTGTGCGTGTGTGTTTGTGTGTAGTTGGTAGTCCATCACCCCAAACCTTCCTAAAATGCCCCTCCCGCCGGCCATATTGGAGGGCTGTCATAAACAAGCCATACACGCCGTTTCTGTTTGTTTTTATCATTGCCTTTGTTGCAAGCGTTTTTGGTTATCTTTTTTCCCTTACCAGCATTCTTTGTTGATCTTGCAAACTACTTTTGTTCATGAAGCTATTTTGTCAATTCTTTCCGAGTTTACGTTTCAGGAGTCCAATTTAGAGGGCTCCGTACTTTTAGCAATTACCCACAATGCACTACCGGCGGCCATATTGGAAGGCTGTTATAAAAAAGCCATACACGAATAGACTTCATGTATGGCTTGTTTATAACAGCCCTCTATCGAAGGGGGATGGATGGGAGCCGGAGGCTCTTTTTGTCTTTAAAGAAATGACTTTTCCATAAAAATGTGATTTTATCGTTAGAATAATGTCTTAAAAATATAAATTTATCTATAGTTTTTTTTAGTCTTAAAAAAACATGACTATCATTACGTCTTTTCACAAAAACTTTTTTTTCTTGATAAAGTATGATTGAGATGAAGTTTTTCTTGGAAAAAAAAATCTCCCTCAAAAAAGTACAACTTCATTTGTATAAGATTACATTTTGCTAGAGAATGTGACTCGTTCTAAAAAAATTTACAGACTTTTCTCATGCCTTTTTCCTGATAAACGATAAATATACATTCTCTTAAACTATTTATCATAATTCAATACTTGTTTAGAAAAATGCAATAAACAAAAAGACACTTGTTCAAAAATTACCGAGATAAGCAAGCTCAGCCAAGTACAGCACTGAGCTTTAAAGTCATTTTGGTTGGAACACACGGCACAAAAAAAATCCTTCGTTACTTCATATCTAAGAAGAGAATTTGTCACATTTATTTTCCTTCTTTTATTTGGATATAACGGGTTGATTCACTAAACAATATTTTATTATTATTTAAAAAAAATAAAATAAAAGGCCAACCTACTGAGTCTGCGCAGCGCGAGCGTTCCCGTCTCTATTACGTCATTTGACAGGCCAGATCCAGGAAGTGAATCTACTGGCTTTTCGCTTGTGTTCCGTGGTCGATCGGTGGACCTCTGCTGTCCTCTCCCCGAACAAAGTTGACGCACACTCCTGCGGCACCAAATGGCGACGTTTATTTCCGTGCCGCTGAAAAAGTCCTCAGAAGTGGACTTGGTCAAGCCCCTGTCGAAATACGTGACGTCCACTTACCCGGCGGGCGAAGAGCAGGCGGAGTACATTCGAGCCGTGGAGGAGCTCAACAAGCTCCGGCGGAACGCTCTAGGAAGGCCGCTGGACAAACACGAGAGCTGCCTGGAAAGCCTGCTCAGGTGAAAAACGAAGTGATCTGCAACAGAGGAAATTTGTCGTTGTTAGTAGAAGTGGAGTAGCCGCCATTTTACATTCTGTAATGTTGCCTCGCCGCACCCTGATACGTTAGCTGCGTTATCCTTGGCTGGCTAAGCTAAAGTAGTTAGCTGGCTATTTGGGCTTGACCATCCAGTAAGTCACCCAAGCGTAGGTTGAAATAATGATTTGGGGCAGCGATAACTTTATTTACAATATTTGTTTTAGTTTGCAGTAAAACTCACGCTGACGGCGGACTTTAGCACGCTTGAATTCGATTGAAATGCTTGCTCCTGTCACGTGACCACAACATATTAGCCAGTGGATTAATCGAGCTCACATGATTGAAAAACGCTTTAACAATACTGTAAAACTTTTTGCAAATAAATTAGTTTTTCGTGGAAGAAGGGGTTAATCTCAAGCAATGTCGTGGCTTTGTTTTTTTCAAAAATTATGTTGACATTTTACTCGGCAGAATGGGACATTTTTCAAAGGCTCTAATATTTTTACCAAATATATTTAGAAGTTTTATGTATGAATAGAATACAGTATATGCAACTTTAAAATTACACTTTTTTTTCTAAAAAAAAAAATTGGGGCAGTTTTCCTGATCTTTATTTTATGTATCGCTTTTTACATGCATAAAAATTATTGTGCTATCTTTGTTTATGTCTGTCAACTTTTTTCTTGACGAAGTGCAAACAGTTATTTTCCTCAATTAGAAAATAAATTAACAAGACCATCTGTGATTGCCACATTTTACTTTTCAAGTATTTTAACTCTGATGAACCAAAAACGTGATTTATTTTCTAATTTGGGGGAATTTCATCGAGGGTGTTATTTAATATGTATATTTTTTTCAATCTGACGATGTAAGGTTCCGACCTCTTTCCTCAAAAGATCCCAACGTTGTTTCCTGTACAAAATGTTGTTTCTCTCTCCAAAATAAAACTACAAAAATCAAAATAATTAATTTCTGTAGATATTTATTTTACTTTTTTAATCCTAGTATTTACGTAAAATCCTGACTTTCTCCAAACGCATTAAAAAAATTTCTCTGGCGAAGTCCCCCCAAAAAAAAGCAACGTCATTTGTCTCTATCGTCACAATTTTCCCATACGTGTCATGCATGTCATATGACTTAAAAATCCCAAGCGATGTTGTTAGACTTCTTACCAAGCGACTGGCAGGATTCCGCTGACATGACTCGTCAGGTATGTTCTATGCTTTCGGGGCTTTTTTGACTATCAGTGCCAAGATTAACTTTCTCCTAGTCTTTATTTAGTTCAGCACAATAGCAGTATAATTATAGCTCCATTTTGCATAATCTGTAAAAGAGATTTGAGTGCGAGTGCGATCAAGAGGCCGAGCAGAAACAAGATCTTGTCATAGTATGCTCAATTTAGCTCTGGTGCAGTAGCTCTGTGTGAAAGAGCAACACATTGGTTCAGTGGACCTTTGCTCCTTCATGTCGCCATGGGAACAACAACAACCAGAGAAGGTGTGGGTGGGGGGTGAAGAGCGAGAGGGCAGAGCATTTGTTTAAATCACCGCGGCAACCGTTGTGTGCGCTCGGGTTTTCTTGACTCAACCACACCTCAGCTCACCTTCCAACGTTGCTTGTCTGCGTGTGAAAGCAGCTTTTTGTTTATTTTTGTTATATCACATATGTCTTAACATGAATTTGCCCTGGCTGTGGCTAAGTCCCACAACTCATTGTCACAGTACTTCCTCAAATCAGATCCCCTTATGTCAACGTAACACGTGTGACTAATTCATCCAGCCTAATGTTTATGCAATAGACACTGGTTTATTTATTAACTTTTTCAGTTAAAAGGTACGAGCGTATGCGAGGAGTTGAGGGTTACTCTTTAATGCTAGCAGCTAACGTTGCATGTAAGCGTAAAAGGAAACTAGTCAGCTAGCACTTCACGTTAGCAGCTACAATTTTCAGTTGGCCCTTGAGTGTAAAATGAAGCTAACAAGCTAGTGCTAAATGCTAGTAGTTAGCCCTTTTAGCTGCTGTTAGCTGTTGGTCGTAAAATAAACTGGGCAGTGTACTTGAATTTACTAGCAAGCTAGCACTTAACATGAGCAGGTTTAAGAAATAAGATAACCAGTTAGCGCTTTGTTGGTAGCTAACACATTTTATTGTCACAGATAAATGATAAAACACTACCAGTTATTTTAATAACAAGTAACAATACGTATAGCGGCTAGCCAGTGGCCATTTAGCTAGCTTGTGCTTAGCATTACCAGCTAACATTTAGAATTTAGAATTAGTTCAAGATTGAGTGAAGAGACTTATAGCAGCCAGCCCCATGTTAGCGCAAGTTTTTTGTAAATCTACATCTTAGGCGCCCATTTTGAGCAGTGTCACGTGTTCCCTCTGTACAGATATTATGACCAACTATGCGCTGTGGAGCCCAAGTTCCCCTTCTGTGAAAACCAGGTAATGGATTACACAGTGCTGTTTTTTTTTTTTTGTTTTTTTCACACACACACCCTCCTCCAACAATCAACAAGTTGTCTGTGACCGTGTTTTGATTCTCCCTCTGCAGCTGTGCTTAACCTTCACGTGGAAAGATGCCTTCGATAAGGGCTCGCTGTTTGGCGGTTCCGTCAAGCTTGGTAAGCGCTTGACCAGGGTGACCATTCATCTCCGACGTGCTATAAATAGATTACACGACACGGCCAAACAGGTTGAACAAAATGGATTCTTGTGTTACATCTGAGCACGAGGGTGTGTTTGTGTGTTTTATCCCTGAAATTTCAAGATGTGTATCAACGCATACATAAAGAAAAAATCTTAAAACAGTGGACTAAAAAAAAAGATAATTACCAGACCTGTGTGTGTGTTAGCCTGCTAGCGTTAGTTTTGTTTTGCAAACAAAATGTCAAAGCAGCTCAAAGAGCTAGGTGGTCGAAGGTTTGCGAGGCTAAAATGTGTGCCATGTTTCGCAGCGTTGGCCAGCCTGGGCTACGAGAAGACATGCGT